TCCATTTTTGCCACTTCTCTTTTAAACTGTCTCCTTAAAGCTTCCCTCTACCAGCCCTACACGAACGTTGCCCGACTTATCTTCGTTTCCACCATTTCCGACCTCTCACGTCTCGAACACTTTTGACCCATTTCTGTGACCTGTATCTTCACCCGACCACTTCATCGCATTCTCCTTGACAGATGGGTTCCATATTTTTTGTGTACCGTCTTCCGTTCGGATTTCTTCGCCACAATGACTGTTTCGTAGTCTCGACTACTTTCGACTTCGTGCTTCAGCCGAGTGGATAAGCTACTGCTACTTCTGGCGCCTCTGTTCATTCTTTTCCACTCGTTTCTCGTACTCCCTTCGTGATCTGTTTTACTAATCTTTACATTACTGATGTTTGGTGGAACCAGATTGTCCGCAACGGTGGTGTACGTAGGCGGGTATTAGACGGGATCATCAAGCCTGTTCCTTAGAACTCCGCGCTATGGCCACCGCCTACCGAGGAGGGTCTTGTTTTAATGTGCCTGCTTTAGTGCGGTGCACGTCTCGAGGCGGGTACAAGTTAGTTTGACAGCGAGAAATGGGGTCACCCATTACCCGACTGCATGTTGCTTGTCCCTCTCGTCTTCTAGGTTGGAGTCCAACCGATTCGCCTTGTGCTTGGCTCGGGACGTTAAAAAACATGTCTTGCAGCCGGCGTCAGTTGCGCGTTTGCTGTCTTCTCTTAATCGGACTTCCTATTTAACTTGTGCTTAGGTCCCTAGTTATCAACGTGGTAGTTGTGATTGTGACACGGGGCAGTGAAGGCCGCAATGAAACAGTTTTGCCGATGCCTTCTTAAGATATCCAACATTATATAGCCGCATTATTGACAAAGTGTAGGTGCGTTGGCCCTGCCTATTTGTTTAGAGCATTTAGGTTTTTACACTAGGAGGCCCATTTTCTCCTTTTATTATTTTTCCTTCCGCAGCTCGTGTTTTTGCGGTAGCGAAGCCTCAGCTCAAGTGACTGCTGTACCGTTGATACTTTTGTTGCCGTTAAGCCGCGGCAATCATTTTATTCGTCGTAACGCAAATCTTTATTGTGACATCTCGTCCGCGGCTCCGTTATTCCTTTCCGATATGTGCTACGGCTCTCCGACTGCCAAACTGCCGAGCTCAGCGGACACTCAAACCACCAACTGAACAACCTGAGCTACCAGCATTTGCTTCTATATTTGAGACCAAGTTCAGATCGCGAACCTCGGGTGACTACTATCTAGCATCATGTTGTGTAGGCTTTCCACTATAAGGCAAACCTCAGCTGCAGCCAAAATATATTTAACTCCGACGTGACCGTTGTTTCTATTGTACATCATCTAGTACTGTTTTGCTGCTGTTACGGCTCATCATTTGCTCTGATCAGATTTCCTTGACTGGATGCTCTTTGCACTTGCCAACATACTGACTAATTGCATTTTCCATTGATCCGAATGTTCTTTTGCCTTCTTGAGTCCTGCTCTCGCTAATCGCGCGTCTGCAACTGGTGTGGCATTTGCATTATTGGCTGACACACTGGTCCCCTTTGGTTGTTCTATTCTTTCAGACGTTTTGTTTGTTTTATCTTTCTGTTCTATTGGCTTCCGATTCCGTTTTTCAGGCAGTGGGTTGATGGCATAACTTTCGTACCTTTGATCTTTATGTATCCTCTCTATGTTGTCTTCACTTGTACTTGCGATCTTTTGTCTTTCGGGTCCTTTGCTGCTCTGTTAATGTTTTTTTTTTCAAATTTACTTGGCTCCACTGCTACAGACTGTTTTCTACTACGATTTCATGGCTTCTATTACGTCGTTCGGTTTTCAACTACACCTCGCTGAAGCCATAGAGTTTATGCTAGACGAAATATGATAAACCGGTGGTACTCATAATCATCGCCTGAGCTAAGACGACATCGTGGCGCTTGTATAGTTGAAGTCAGTCAGCCGGTGTATGACAATAAACCTTATAATTGCTTCTTGGGCCATCTGTCGAACTTGCACTCTCTCGCTACCACGCACTTTTTTGGGGTTTATATATATATATATATATATATATATATATATATATATGTTGATGTTGAGAATCTAAAATCTAGCCTAGTTCGTAGTTGCCACGAATACGTTAAGACCAAAAAATCTAGTAATAGTATTATCACTAGGGAACAAATCCAGTCACTTAAAGAGCTACGGTTAAACAACGAATTAATAATCTCTAAGCCAGACAAGGGCTCCGGCATAGTACTGATGGATAGGGTGGATTATATCCATAAAATGCAACACATCCTCAGTGATGAGAGTAAGTTTCAGAGGCTCATGACAGGAAAAGACAACACAGGAGAGTTAGAGAAGCAGATAACCGGCTGCCTCAGGCGAATGATGCAAGCCAAACTTATCACGAAGAACGAATTCGGAAGGCTGAAGCCTTCAGGTGGACACCTACCGAGATTATATGACTTACCTAAAGTTCACAAGGAAGACGCCCCAATGCGCCCAATCTTGGACATGGTGGGTTCTCCTCAGCATTTGTTGGCCCAGTGGATGGTGGCGAAGCTGCAGCCGTTACGGAATTTGGTTTGTACTTACTGCGTTAGAGACACGTTCGAATTCATTGAGAGGATATCTGAAAGCAAACTTGTTAACAAAAGGATGATATCATTCGATGCCCAGTCGCTGTTCACAAACATTCCATTGCTCGAAACCGTGGATTACGTATGCGAGCTTGCTCGGCAACTGCCCATATACACAACTTTTCCGGAGAATTTGCTAAAGGAGGTGTTACTTCGTTGCACGTTAAATGTTCAGTTCATTTTCACTGGTGAAATGTACCGTCAGATTGACGGAGTGGCCATGGGATCTTCTTTGGGACCGCTGCTGGCTGATATATTCATGGCGAAATTGGAACATGGCCCACTTGCAACGCACATCCGTGAAACCGAAATGTACGTACGGTATGTGGATGACACCTTCTTACTTTGCAAATCCGAAAAGCTTGCGGAACAATTGCTGAAAGCTTTCAATGACGCACACGAGAATCCCCATTTCACTTGTGAACGCGAACTCGGAAACCGGTTACTTTTCTTGGATGTAGAGGTTATCCGTAACTCAGACGGATCATGCAGCAGAAAGGTACACAGGAAGCACACATGGACTGGGCAGTACGCTAACTTTCACAGCGCAGTACCACTACAGCACAAGCGGAGTTTAATCAGATCTCACGCCTTCAGGGCGCGCAGTATTTGTACACCGGATACCGTCAACGAAGAACTACAGAGAATCAGCGACGCTCTCAGGGAAAATGGCTATCCGGATAAATTTATCATGAAACATTTGAAGGAACGTAATCGAAAGCCACCTAGGAGCATTGCTCCTAAGAAAGAGCTTTTCATACATATACCCTTTAAGGGCGATTCTGCAGCTGATATGTTATCCAGACGCCTGAAATATGCTGTCGAGAAAACTTATTTCGCGGCCCGCCTGAGAATCGTTTTTCACAATAAGCCGTTGCTTACAAAACCCTTGAAGGATGGACTACCGCCGTTGACCCGTTCAATGATCATTTATCAGTACTCGTGCTCCTGTGGTGCACGATATGTGGGTTGCACGACGAGACGCCTATCTCAGAGGGTTCGTGAACACATCCCGGCATGGTTTTACAGAGGCGAAATGGGGTCTTCAGACAGCTCTATCATGTCGCACCTTGAATGTGGCCATACAGTTTCAGAGAATGACTTCAAAGTCATTTACTCATTACCTGAACACTTCTCTCAAGGATTCCGCAAACAGCTCTTATCCATCGCCGAGGCTATGTACATTCACCATCTAAAGCCGGAATTATGTGTCCAAAAACGATTTATACGGCCGATACTACTACCTTGGCCAACGGACACCGTTACTTAGTTATTTGTCTGTTATCTTACCTACTTAATTACACTGCACTACTGAGCCTTGTGTACACATGTTTATTTAGTTTACTTGGTCTACCATCTCTGTCTCAAGTTATCGATTTTGGTCATTCAAACAGTCAAGAAGTCAATCCCAGCCCCAGTTGACGCTATATCCGCAATCACTGTTATGTCAACGTTTGGGTCCGATGAGAGTTACCGAAAAGAATTCTTTACCCTGAAATGATTTCTGATATTGATTCAAATATATATATATATATATATATATATATATATATATATATATATAAGCAGCTGTCTACGAATAGACATAGGGCCATCAAAAGCCATGGAACTCGAAGGAAGGTGCAGTTATTGTAAAAGGAAATACACCCCAACACAGAGGAGCCTATGGTTACGTCAGAAGGCTAGATACTACCCGGTTACTCAAGCCGAAGTGTGGTTTTGACTTACGGAACACCACCCCGAGCCTTTGGCCGAATAACCTGCTCGCAACACAGCGGATCGAATTGAGGGAACCGCGCCCGTTAAGAGCCGGTAGCTGATTGCCCATTTCATACGCCTTTCGTTTGGTCGGTTGACAAACGCCCCCTATTCTCCCCACAATTTGTGCTTCGCGTTGTTGTATACAATGCTCCACCGGAATGAAGTAAGCTGCAGTGACTTTATTTAGTGGCGAGTCACATCCGCCACGTCGCAGTGTTGTTAAACGTACATATGTGGCTTTTTCTAGGGAGAACGCTTGCCAGACGAACACCCATCACGTTCTGCAACACTGACGCCGAACCACTTGCTGGGGCGGGATAATCCCGAACCACTCAGCTGACACCATGAGGAGGTTGTTCGGCAATCCACCCATTATATAGCGTCTGGTTTGCCCTTAGACCAAATGTCCTGGCGCTTGTAAGCACTGTGGTTCTCTATTCATCGGTCACCCTTTACCATCAATCCGCACAAGGTGAACATCTTGTTTCTAAAACGATGCTGTATCATAATACGTTCATTTCCTGTTTCTCATTTGATCTTTATTTGTATCCACCAGCCTTGTTCTACACATGTTTCTCCAAATCTATTGTTTTTGCTCTACTCATTAGATAAACCCTGATCCCGACATACCAACTGTCAAGTATCCAAACCCGGAGGAAGGTCGTTCTGCACTTAACTTGGCTATAGCCACAGCGGACTCAGCCAATTCACGAATAATTTTGGCAAATGATCCGGATGCTGATCGTCTGGCTGTGGCCGAAAAGCAGCCTGAGTATGTCTTCATACGTCATTTCTCATATTCTCGTCACTCTCAAATCACTTCTTTGCATACATCTTCTCAATGCAAATGGGTTTATGGATCGACCTATTGCCCGTGCAGCTCGATTACCCCTTGTCTAATGGCTTTTTATCGTCACGGTGAATATGCTCATTAGGGGCTGAATGCTCCTCTATACATTGCGTAATTAATCCTTTTTACTTCTCACAGTCTCCCAGCGCCTCACATAAATACTAGACAATTCCGCATCTGAGCCATAGGTTGTCTCCTTTTTTCACTGATTTTAAGTCTGCGTTAGTTTGAGCCTTTCTGGAAGATTTACCGTCAACAGAGTTAACTGGAATTTTTTCTTAAATCTCATTTTTCACGCTTCTAGTTCCATAGCAGGTCTCCGCTCTTGATATCTGATATATGTACCCATTGCCGTATGAGATCTTTCTCTATGTTGCCGATCATCTCTCTTAAAGGAGTCATCATTTTCAAGAGTATTTCAGCACGTGCTTGTACCATTGGCACTTTCACTCCTTCTGTAGTGTCCGTGCTGTTCGCGTGTGATGGACATTATGGGGTTCACCTGAGAAGCCTATCATACTACCCATCTTTCGCAATTACCATTTTGAATCCACCTGTGCTAGTATTGCCTGTCTTCCATCAGATTCCAATTCAGGATGTACTACTTAGATCTCCCTTTGATTTCCGTTTCACTTAGCGGGCAGTGGAAAATTTTCTCTGGCAATGAGCTCGGTGCACTCTTCGGCACGTGGATTTGGTCCAACTGGAAGAAACGCAACCCGAATGGTGATGGTGCGTTTATCTGTTTCCAGAGTAGTGGTCGCTGTATCATCAGTTAGCTCTGCGTGTTATAGCTTAGTGTAGTTCGTGTTGAACTGAGCCTACTTGGATCAGAATGCCTGTACTCCCGGACTCTATGGAAAGCCATTGGATAGTACGTCGAGTTGGGATTCCCTTTGTGTATGCTGCCTTACTGCTTATACGCAGACATTTTACACCAATTATCCCACTCACTTTATCCTAACTGCGATTACCCGTCCTTGGGTTGTTGCCTTTTTCATACTTTTTCTACTCCTTTGGCGGTATTCAATTCGTTATCAGATGAGGTAGTATGTTTCTGCCGATTCACAAGTGCTTACATGATCAAATGCTGTCAAAGAGGCGTAACTTTTGTCACCACCATGGCTTATCTTTGTGACCTAGTCACCTGTAATTTCACCTTGAGGACGTGCTGCTGATGCATTTCTCTTAGTTCCCCACGAACTCACGGTGGCCACCGTTATACATTTGCGCCGATCCCCTTTCCGGTGTACGCAAATTGCACATTATTCGCCGGTGGGACGTTCGTCTTCAAAGGTTGTCTTCGGATTTGTCCTTGGTATATGCATTTCAACCGCTCGTATTATCTATGCATCTCCAGATCCTTGACTTTCACGCTTCTTTTTCCGGACCTGCTATCATCCTTTTATTCTCCATTATTATGTACAGGTGTTCTTTATTATGGAAACACCAAAGTTTAGTTGCCACCACCCAGCATATCTGTTATCAGCCGGATCATAGCCTTAAGGATCACAAGCCTGCCCTGTAAGCCGAGGACGCGGGTTCGAGCGTGCCTAGGGACCGAACGACCGCCGCAATACCCTTAGTTTACGTGCGACTGGCAGTGGTTGCGCGGCAGCAGAGCGTCGGTATTGCGTGCCGGCGTACTGCTGATGCATTTTTTACAGCTGGTACCATATAATACCTCGTAAGTTTCTGTTGTCTGATTCCCCACAATTTGCCCTAATCGAAACGGGCTAAAATTACTAATTTTAACCTGGCAAAGCATCATTCTGCTATTCCAACAAGACCTCAGTCACTGGAAACTGTTCTTTAATATTTTGGCTGTCATCCTTGGAATATTGGATGAATAAGAGGGTTACCACACCGACCGGATGGCATTCACTGTTCCACTTGTCCATTCTACTTCCTATAACCAACGAAAGGATTCTTGGAAAAACAGGTGCTCCTCTACCAGCGATGTTGAATTGAAGCTTGTTAACAGCCACTGCAGTTTTTCTATGCAGTATACATTATCATTTAATTGTTTGTTTCATTTCCTTTTAAAGTAGATTGGGTGAGCTTCAGAATTTTTTTTTACAAATACAGCTTTCTGTTTGGGTTTCGGATATCGGAGTCACACGTATTGAATCTATCGCCATCCCTGGATCTTCGGCTGGCACGTTTTCGTCAACCACTGACAGGCTTCTTACACCCTGTCGCTTCGTTGCACCACTCCCTCTCTTTTACTTGCGCTTCTTCCTTTTCCTTTCCGTTTCCCACCTTTTCAGTTATTTTTTACCACCATGTTGATGCGAGTCAAAACTACTGCATTCAGTCTGCTGGCTCAGGGACAAATTTCCGTCATCTGTTATACCAACTCACGAGTAAAATGCAAGGAACTTCTGGCCGGTTTTTGTCCACTAACAAACGGTCCGAATCAGCTGAATGTGTCTTAAGTTAACATCCACTGCTCGAAGCAACTTCTCTGGTGGCTACCTGTGCCTCTAGCTTGAGATATCTCATTTATAGGTGGATTTCTGGGACCCATATGCAGGTAATCAAAACACACGGCGTAATTCAATCCGTGTGTCTTTTTCAGCGTTTCGTGACATTCAGACATAGTCTGACTGGGAGCGTCGGTGGCTGACATCGTCGGAAACACTGTAGTATTACTCCGACTAATCCAACTCATTTCACGAGTGAACACCCGGTTCACTCTTCCATAGTGGCTTCAACACTGCCAGGGACATTTGAAAACAACTTAGCGGACTCGATGTATCATAATGATCAGTTGGATCATCCTAACTCCATTAAGCTCTTGATGCGACAGGTTCAGCGATGCACACGGTCCAACACGAGCTGCTACTTCTGGATACTGAATACTGGTTAGAAGCAACGAGTAGAGCTTGCTCTTTGTAGCTGCATCAATCGTCATTCATGGACAAATACCCGTTATGTTTTGTTCCGCTCAATATATTTTGCGTTTGCAGTGTTCGTCAAGGAACTTCTTACATTCTGACACTGACTTTGCCTCAACTACATGCTGCGACAGGTCGTTCCATACATTCACCACTCTGTGTTCGAAACAGAGTTAGTGAGCAACCCGCTTCAAATCCGGTACGATAAGTTTACACCGGTGTCCTCGTGTGCTGCTTGGTTTGGGCAAATGAAGCAGTGGTCTCAACATAGGGTAATCACCCAGATGTAATATCCGGTGAATGGGAACAGCGGACCTGGCCCCTACGACTTTTTTATCGTTACTGAATGACGTTGGTGATTCATTGGTGACTTGCGTGTCTGTTCTTCTCCACTATATTTGGCACAATAAGAAAGTTCTCGCTGTTTAACCTCCGTCAATTTTCACCCTCATCTTTTAGTAGAGTAAACGGGCTTTATGTCAAAATATTCGTGTTATAAGTTCATTTTATTCAACCTCAAACCACCGACACATCATGTGGTGACTCACTGATCCTCATTAGAAACGAACCGATGAAAATTAAGTTCACTTTTCTCGGTGGAATTTGCTGGGCATCATTTTAACCCCATCATGTACCAAGCGAAGTACATCAGAGTAACTCTATGTTCTCCCTTTCTCTGAACTTTCGCTACCGGAATTGCCATGATTGATACCAATTTTCCTTACCATTTCTAGCCTGTGTGGCTACTCGGTTTTCCTAGCCAGAACGCGACCGGTGATAGTCGCGTAACATCGAGGCGTCGGTACAGCAAACCGGAGCATTGCTGACACCATTTTCTTTCTCTATTCCACTTTCTGTCGGGCTTTTCCAACTGACAACCGTAGCGTACGCGGACGACTTAGTACTTTTTTGTCAAACCCAGCGGCCATATATGCGTCGTCGAACAAAATCAACGCGTAAGGCTTCATGCTCGGACATATGCTTTGTACCTTCAAAGTTCCAAGTACTGTAGTCAATCCGTTCAGTATTCTTGTCACTTATATCGCCTCTGATGGTCGCACCAACGAGGTGATTGCCGCATGCATTGCTAATACCCGCGTGGCTTTTCAAAGCTTTATGGTGACAGCGAGACACCTAGTCATTGATTGAAAGAATAATTTGCAACACTTAAAGGTAACCGGTGTTGCTGTATGGTTTGGAGACACCGCCACAATGCACTATACCAGTGGTTACGTCTAGTTGTCGGTGTCTATAAAGCATTAGTCAAATCCGGTGAGATCACCGAATGGGTGCTTGTAAACTGCATCATTTGGATTTTGTCAACAGACCCTCAGGCACCGAGTACGGATACCTGTCAGACTTACTCAGACTAGATAACGTGATCCACGTGACCGTAAATCGACTACCCTAGCATGCGTTGTTTCTTAGTTCTGTACCTAAGTAGATGAAATCCCTAGTTTACCATTCAGTGGCATGATAATTGTTTGGCGATGCACCGTGGGGTTGGGGCTTGTCATCTACCTGCGCACGACTTTGTACTCAACTGCGTTCTCCCATTTCCCCTTCGAATTGAGCTGTTTCATCCAGTGGTTTTTATCCTTGTCTGATTTCTCTTGCGATTTGAACCGGGACAGCTGTATCCTCCGCGATTCAGCATCCAGATCACCATTACTTAACCGAACTAATCGTATCAGCATGAGTCACTGCAACTGAACGCATCGCATCTCAGTGCCCAGACTTTTTGTGTGCGTCTGCATGTTCTACACATTGACACGACAGAAAGTTGCTGCTTGCTTACTTCAGTACATGTGAATAGTTCTGATGATCCCTATGCAGCGCAGTACCACACAGTGTACATATCGAAACCAGCCACTCTGTCTGGCTCCGCACTCCTCATCGCATTTCGTCGCGTTAGGTTTCGTGTGTGTGAATCCACTTCGTTTGATCTGAATGCTACTAATTCCTTTCAAATGCGTTGGTGCCGCACTTGTTCCTAACTCTAGGCTAACTGCTAGAGCAACACAGAATGTTAACCCCCTATTGACTGTATATTGCCACAGGTTTTGCACTGCTATTGCTAACGCATTATCATTGAGTCACAGTTTTGGTTCTGATTGTTCGTGTGATTGTACTTGCAGTTAAGGTTCGCTTCTGCGCATCACCTAGACTTAATTCAGTCACCGTACAGAGGTTCCCCCATGCACTGGTTAAAAAGGTAAAACTGTGATACCCGTTGTGTGGTTTCTACAACGTTTCCTTTCTCTAATTTGTGGTATGCCGTGTCGCACTGCTGTTCGTTTTAACTACGCCACAGCGGCCTGCTTTGTTGCTCATGTTTGTTACCACATAACCCGGATCTCGTTTTCGATATAGGAAATCAGCGCATGACCCTATCGCTGATTCGACTAGCTCCGATGAACCGTTAGACATCAGTTTATTCTGTGTAGCGGACATTTTACCACCCTTACAAACCTGCCAAAAAGCTACTGGTTCCCATTCGTCATACTGCACCATTGTTTTTCTCCCATTTATTTTCGTGCACAGCATCCAGAGTAGGAATGCTATCAAGCACAGTGTCCTCCAAAATACTGCAGACCATGGCCGAACGCGAAGGTTTTTACTTCGAGGAGACACTCACAGGATTCAAGTGGATGGGCAACCGGGCAGACGAACTCTCAAAGAAGGGAATACGCATTCTGTTTGCATTCGAAGAAGCAATCGGTTCGTCTGCTTCTCCCTGCTTGTTATCTCGCTTTAAGTTCTTGTCTACCAGTTTGCTATTTTTTTGGGAGCCTAATTCATCATCCAGTGTTCGACTGGTTATGGAGTGATCCAGCTGTCTGGACTACGCATTATGCCATCCTTCATGCATTCCCGCGGGTGGTTACGTGATAACTAATCGTCGAATCGGAAGTTCTGCTGTACTACTAATGAGTTTTCTCAGATCAGGAATTTCTTGTGAGGCCCCACTTTACATAAATAATTGAACAATATTTTCCAGCTTGGCGAGATACGACTGCTTCGCAGCGATGAATTACTGCGCGCATTTGACCGCATTCTTAATAAGACGATCGAAAATATGCACAGACGTTTTCAAGAGCAAAGGTCGAATTCGCATAAAGGCGCTCTTGATTCTGACTTTACCTGGACCGTAGTTTGTGGCGACGTTACTGACTCCATGATCTCGAGCACATAGTGGTTCTAATAAAGGTTTACCCTTTGCTGTTCCTCATATGTTTCAATGTCGGAAATTCTATTTAGCTATTACTGCATGAGTCACAATGTGACTGGATCTTTAATAATAATAATAATATTAATAATAATAATAATAGTAATGCTAACAGTAATAATAGTTAATTGAGGTTCATGTCGAGCAAGTTATATCGGAAGAACAACCAGGAAACTGTCTGAGAGAGTCCTTGAGCATTGCCCGAGTTGGCTATCTACAGGTGGAACTAAGACAGTGAAAAGCGCCGTGTTAGCACATCTAGTTGATTTTAACCACCGGATGGATATGCTCCAAAGTTTTCAGCCAATTTACCGCGTATCTGGATGCTTCACACGAGCGGTAAGATGTTGCCTATTAGCAATAGCGGAAGCGATCGCCATCCGCCTCCAGAACCCAGACCTATGTGCACAAAAACAATTCGCTCAGATTCTCTCTCTTCCCTGGCCCCCTATTACAGTAACCTCTGGTGAGAAACATACAGCTGACATTCCATTGCTCGTTTGTAAACCAAGCACATGACCTTTTAATCTTACCCTTTGAATTTTGCTCCCGTCTGATGTTTTAACTCATTTTACTCTTATTAGTTGTGGTGTACCAGCCTGATGAGATCCACCGAAAACGTGCTTGTTCGCTGACTCTTGTTCTAATTGAGGTTCATCACAGCCAACTTCCAAATCCATTAGTCGTCCACATGCCCGGAAAAGCTGGCTGTGATGAACCTCAATCATCTATATCAAAATCCCCTACTCATGAGTACATGAGTATTAATAGTGTTTATTTTCGATTTGACACGGGGCACATCTAAGTAGGCATGATCGTTTACAATTAATTATACGTCGTTCACAATCTGATCGGTGATGTGTTCATATAAAGCAACTGAGAAGACCCATGAAGTTCTGTTTATTATCTATGTGGTTAATGGCCACGCAGTCAGTGGTTGCAATTCCTTACTGCTAGAAATCTCTTGCTTTGTCTGGCTCGACTATTGATGGTCTATATGTTGCTGTCACTTGTTGGACTAGCTACTTTGATAACGGCGAAATCAACTCCATCTGTACAACTTGTTGGAACACTAGTCCAGTTCTTCGCTCTTTTCAGGCAACTTCGTACAACCGATCTTCATCTTTTAATGCGTCTGCAATCATTTGGGCCTGTATGCAGGTCAGTTGCATGAAGTTGTGAAAGCCGATGTTGATCTTCGGTGTCAGACTCTATTATCTAATGTTTGGGAGAGTCTAGTGCTAATGTTTTCCGATCAAAAAGCACCATAGTGCAGCTGCTGGTTCGCGCTCAGCTACTGGCCCGTTTTTTCTATAGAAATAATTTTACTGAAAAGGTCGATACACAATATTTATTGAGAGAGCTGAAATTTCAGCGAATTTTTTTTACTCTGCTGTATCTCCAACTTGCCACCATTCTCTGCTTCATTTGTACGAACCATTATTTATGTGTTCTTGCTCCTGAATGGTACTTGACGCCGTCGCAATTCCTACTCATGAAGTCGGTGCGTGTTACTGCATTCCTGCCCGGAGGTCGCGCCTTCCCTTGGGGTCTCCGGGGATTCATTTTGCGTCTTTAGTGTACTAGGTATCGCTCATTTCTACAATAGCAACACTGATAGAATTAGTCACAGTTCCGAAACTCCTTACCACATCGAATCTCATTCACCGTTTTTATATATTACACGTTCGCCTCACTTGTCAGCCTATATCTTTACTAATTGCATCCGATGCGACCCTCTTCAACTGCTTCTACCGACTGTGATACTAGCTAACTATGCTTAATCATCCCCGTGAGCTCTTGAATTCGAGTAATGGTGCGTCCTTCAATATCATGAATTGTTCGTCCTTTCCACTACGGATGGGAGCCTTGTATTAGATAATGTACTATGTCGCAATCCGAACACACGACGGTTACTCCAAAACCAAACATGGAATTCCTCACTGATGTTCCAATCGTTACTCGCGGCTATCATTGAGGTACTGATCAAGTTGTCAACCATGAAACCCTCGGTCCGTGACCCTGAAAAGACCAAAAAAGAACGAACAACACCGGAAACTTTCCGCTTCAGATGCCGTCCGAGCGATTGCAATGACTGAGGTTTACTCCACTCTAATATGTGGTTGTAGCAAGCCAGGCACGCTACCGATACTGTGAAACCCGATTACGAATCCTTGTGGCTCATCACAATGCATTTGTTACCGCTAAAGGTAACAAGCTGCACTTAGTGGTCCCATCGAAACTTCAAAGCGACACGGTTATTGGCTTGCTTGTATCCCCATCATTCAGTGTTTAGCTTACTGCAGTCAAATTCATGGATATTTCTAAGGAGCACATTTGCCATTCGCTAAGGGCTCGCTGGATGTATGAAAAATCATTTCACCAGTACACCGGTACGCAGTACCGACGCCTCGCTGCCGTGCAACCACTGCTGGTCGTGCGTGCGCTAAGGATACTGCGTGGGTCTCCTGGTCGTCCCATACGCAGGCTTAAACCCGTGACCTCAGCATCACAAGTCTGGCTTGTGATCCCTAAGGCCACGGGCCGGTATGAGACCAATTTTTGTTTAAGTCATATAGGCTTTATGTACCCGACTGGGAACATTTTCAACATTTTACGCTGGCACTTCGGATGTACTGAGGCATAGCATTGTTCTGATAACTTTCTTTAAGTCCACAGCAAAACGAGATAAGTACGGTAGGGTAGAGTTATGGTATGATGCTAAACGAGAAATCAACCCTACATTCAGAGCGAGTAGAGGAACAGGAGCGAGCTTTTGATGAATCGTCACGTAGGGGGTGGGAATGGTCATTAAATAGTTGTCACATGCACGAAATACTTACTGACGACGAAGTCAACCATTCCACTTGCGCTTATTTGAACTCACAATCAACGTGGTCTTTTCATAGAAGAGCAATAAAACTGATAGGTGAGCAATATAACCCGTGACGAAGAATACAGACAGTTACAAACTTCTGAATTGAAGAGCAGGGTATTGAAAGCATTTTGGATGTCAGGGCTTGAAATGACAATTTTCCCACCTTGCGGAGCGTTTCGTCAGCGTGCCTTGGCCATGATAGATTATGAGGCTAGTGTACACCAAGGTACTTGATGGTAGACGAACTGGATATGTTGGGATCCCTCATCATCATGGAGCGAAAAGTCTTGAAAAAGTCTGATGTTTCTCAATACAGAGGAAAGAGAAAGTTACATCGCGGCATGTAGAAGCGTTGGAATCAAGGGATCGGGACGACGACGACGACGACCGATGAAGATCATTCAATCCGCTTTGGAGAGGCGTTGATTATTCAAAATTTGGATCAATGCTACCTATAACTACTTCGTGGAAATACTTATATCGAATAATGTTAGAAGGAATTGGAGGCCTTTCGATGTTTAGGGATTGTACTAATACGTATATTTCCCGATTGTGCGAGTAGCTGTTCCTGGATTGTGGACAGATCATGGGTACAATAATGATCATGCTCATGCCTGAGTGAGATATGTATTCTGGGGTGCGTGATATCAAAATATTTTGAATCAAATAACTTTTATTGTTGCTGAGTTTTGTGTACCATCTTTCCTCATTGGTTATTTATTTCTAAGTCCATCCTGGAAGAACTCGTAGGTTGATTTACCCGATGGAAACATGGTCATTATCGAGTTCTGGTCCAGGAATTTACTAAGCTGAATGCGGAATGTTCTCGCATTTACGCAAGACCTGATTGTGGCTGGTAGGCTATTCCACATGAAAGCATATCTGACGAGGAAGAAGTTCGATCGGATAGCTGTCCTGGTTCTTGGCACAGTTAATTTACAGGTCTTGTTGCGTATATTCCGAGTGAAGTTATGTTGCAATCTTAAGGTACACAGATTGGAGTATGTCTTTTGGTTTATGAGATTGTGGATCAGCATCAGGTTATGTTACAGTCGTCTCAACCAAAGGGGTTCGAGCTTCAGCTGCTGGCAGCGCTCCTGATAACCCAAAGTGGCTGATTTACTGAACAAACGCTTAGTGAATGATCTTTGCGGGTTTTCTAAAGTTTTCCTGTCATTTATACGCATGTTCCCATAAATGATGCTGCAGTATTCAAGGCAGGAAATGTGCGTATTTTGAAAAGCTCGTGTCTGTCGGGGGTTGTATATGTTTTATGGCATATGTTAGCCACAGATCGCTTGGCACGTGCTACTTGATACTCAGCTTGCTCTGAGAAATGTGAAGAGTATCGTATGCCTAGACCACAGTTGGATAGTTTCACACATCCGTTCATTGTTCAGTTTAACAGACTCTTCAGGGATCAAACATCCGTATGATATAATGCATGATTTACTAGCTGAGAAATTTAATATCCATGTGTCACCGTTTTTCAAGTGAATCGAGATCTTGCATGAGCAGCATTGCATTATGGCGTTCATCGTAAAACACCCTAGTGATTATTAAGAATGGCGGATTTTTCACCGTTCAGCTGGAAGCAATAAGAGCGATTTATGAAGTAGTTGCTCATCAGGTTGAACACTGCTAGTTGAATACCATTCACTCCACATCTCGACACAGTGATAATGCCGCCTCGCATGGCGGTGAAACATTTGCAAACAAATTTCCCAGCTCGGCGAATGAATTGGCAACTGAATTATCAACCCGAGCTACCAGTTTTCTGAGACCATTCACAAACAGCTAATCAAGCAGTATTGACCTGTCGACACTTCCAAACCGTTGGAGTAATCAAGAAAGCGAAGCCACACAGTCTTGCATTTCGCATTCAATGAGGATGCTATTGATTAAACAACGTATGCCAACTGAGATACGTCCATAGCCGGAGTGTTTGTTGAGATCCAAGTAGTCGCCCTAAGACTTTCAGCATGATTTACTTACAGGCGATCGGATGGAATTCCATGGATCACTTCTTTGGAACGAGCGTTCTCCTGGCAGGCCTCCTAATGTCGGGAATAATTCCACTATGTGGGCACCTGTTAACAAGAAATGTCAAGGGCATTGTAAGGGTATCAGTGCACTCCTTCAAGACAGCCACAATTGGTTGTCGTTTTTTGGTGTAATTTTTGCTTCCACCCCCATTATCCTGCCATTCGGAATTGTTTTTATCACGGGAAACGACAAACGACCAAGCGACTACTCTGCAAGCAAACCATTCGCCGGATTTCACCTGTCTTTCTGTAGCATGCACCGATGGGTTTTGAGTATCTCTCACCTTCACGTTAATCGATAACCATGTAAAAGTGGGTTTAACTGTTTGCTGTGGAAAGAGCACTATCATCCATTCACTTAATCATTCACTTTCCAGGTTTCATGTGCGGTGATGTGGTGCTGGACAAGGATGGAGTGGGCGCTTTGGCAGTAATCTCCGAATTGATCGCCCATGTCTACGCTAATCAGCTCACTTTACAAAAGCAATTGGAAAACATTTACCAACAGTAAGTTCCAGTTTATCTCGTGGCGTAGTGGTGGTTTCTGACACTGCATCTATGGCTGTCACATACTCTGTGCGAGATTTGTCCTATCTGTTGGTCTGTCTTCGTCCTTTGTTTGGCTAATCTTCTGCTTATTTAGGCTAGGGAGTTGGGCGTACCTGATTCTACATCATTATTTACCGAAGTGCCGCCTTCTTCACTCCGTCCCTTGATTTTCTATCAGTTTATTCAATCGATGCAATTCCCCACATTGTCAGTTCGCCTCAGTACGCTACAAATAAACACCAGGAGATAATGTGCGACCGGTAGACCTGTTCATTTAAGCCATAGTGCTGTCGCCTTAATTTCCTTGTCTCTAACTCTTAATGCTTCCATCCGACGAATTTAACAGATCTTCTTTTGTGCACTTTCTTCACAACCATACTCGAAAGGAGCTAGACGGCCGGTTAGCCCTATCGGGGCTGTTCACTAGCGCATATCCACCGGACTGTGATGGATACGAACTCTTGCGAGCCAGTGACATAAGTCACTAAGCCATTGGTGACAGGGGCGTCCAACCATGACTGATGACATGCCGCAATATGGTGCTGCTCATCTTCTGCTACCTTGCAAGTAACAGACGCCCCCCACAGCTAAGGCTTCTATTTCAAGCGCTCACTTTCATCGACAACGGCTGCTTGGGCGAGTACTGATTGTTAGTGAATACCAGCTGGGTTTATCGTGTTTTTCAGGTTCATTGCAGCCACCCTCAGTCAACCAGCCACCACACGTTCCATCTAATTTTCTCATTGTGATATTTTTCTATATTCCTCTCATTCTCATGGTCCATTAAACGACACTTTCATGCAGATGTGTTCAGCCACCGCACTTCGGTGCAGAGGTCCACAGTTAACCAACTGCATTCTAATCGAAAATTACTCATTTGTTACGGACAGTGGTGCACCTGTTCAGTACAAATGAAAGCACGAACATGAGTTGTGTAGCAATGAAGAGATCTCTAACCTCTGTGGTGTCGGGCAGTTTTGGGTTTCGTCAACAATTCCTGCCTGACTAGGCGTTTCTTTGCCACTTGGACTCACACGTTGTTCGATTGAACGTACTGAAACGAATTTTAGTATGGTCATCCACTATCGCCCCGACGATGTCCGCATCATTTATCTGCTTTTTGCACCCATCGCTTCGCAGCATTGCCCCTACGCGACTTTGGAGTATTGCGTTGTCGAATAACTTAGAGGTCTGATGTTTAACACTTATGTGGTTTTCCAATGCTAAGTCCCACCACCATAGTCTATGGTTTACCAACGATAATAGCACATGTGGTTGGTGTTTAATATCGTGATGTGTTTGATAGCAATATCATCTGCGGCTGTCCTCGGCCAGTGCAATAGCTTCCATCTCCGACGCTTGTTTGACCGGTAAGATTCGCGGTATTGGTAAACGATTGGGTTCAGCTGCAAATTTGTCCTCCACCGGGGAGCACAGCTCAAATGTGGCCAAGCTGTTCCGGGGATGGTGAGTTCCAACTTTTATCCCTAAAGCGAGTGAGGTAGTATCTGGATAAATCTGTTGCAATTCTCACAGACTGTTGCAGGTCAATTTCTAGAAGAGAGGAAAAGGTATGCTTACTCGATGTCTCAGTTGTGACTTGTTTTCTCCGGTTCGCTTTGTCCAGTGTAAGCCACCGCGACGCGTGTGAGCGATCGCACACATCAGTGCATGATTTGATTGAGCACAGGTTGGATGCTAATCGTCAATGCTGTGTAATGCTGCTCCACTTACAGCTTATTATGACGTGGTCAATTCAACATCAGCATTGAGTCGATGATGGTCACGTCCTGGATGACCAAGCCTCACACTGCATATGAAACGCTGATTGTCGATATGCAAATTGAGCGATCTTTCTCCCTCGTCAGAGTGGTCATCATCGTACCCACGCTGTCATCCTAAATGACATTCGGCTGACATCATCGATCAATATTAGTGCTGAAATTCTTTGCTGTGTTTTCGTGTTTGTCCGAAGAACCCTCAAAAACAAGCCATGAAGGCTTTGGTAGTATTGAACTTTGATTGAATCTGAGCTACACTGAGTGCATGGAGGATATTACAAAGAGGACATATTTTCACCGTGACGCCCGTCAACTTCACAACGGCATGAGAACTCGACGCATATGCAACTGTTTGTTACCTTTTATTCGATGAGAATAGCTTCAGCTCTAACACTAGGAGCGATACTAACACCGAGTTGCTCCAACGCGAGTAGTCCCAACGTCACCGGAGAACTAAGGATGGGGGCTTACATGGGTACATTGGTGACAACGGTCGATAGACTGTTCTGAGATCCAGAACTTGTTCCAAACAGGTTGGTGGATACCATTCGCGAGAGGCCTGATGGTTCAGCTTGTTCTTCGATCTGATCGTTGCTGCTTTTAACTGTTTTCGCTGGGGAGGTGAGAAATGTTGCCGCGTGTTACTCTCTGTGAAGTACTGCGTAGTTGAGTTAGTGAATTGTATGGTAATATCTTCATCGGAAGATGTGGTGTTGTTCACCCTTAAGTGCGAATGATGCAGAGGAAGAGCAAACCGTCACTTGAGCGACACATTTCGACGGAGCATCGGTACTGTAGATACTGCTCGCTTACTTCTGCTAAACTCGGGGCCTAATCAATAGGATAGCAGGACGAGATGGGAGATTTGTGCTCCCTGGGATCCGATGATCGGATTGTCAGGTCATCCGCCTTTCGGACCACCATGAACTATATCAGGAGTTAAACTTCCCCCATGTCTCCCAAGCAACTGATGACAATTAACTTACCTAGCGTCGAGTAACATGAAACAAGTCAGTGCTTGCATTCTGCTTTAGATCGTTTTCAATGGGAAAAGCGCTTGCTAAGCGACAACCTACCATGCTACTCATCACTGTCGCTGGATCGTCTGCAACTTTCCATTCTTCTCGGTGGAAGCATTTGACGCTTGTGCGCGTTTACTTCCGAAGAAGGTATCCTTCAATCCACAACGTGGGCTCACATTCGGCAACCTATGAGCAGCCGATTTTGTCATCTTTGCTCAAATTTCATCTACTGTTTGCGGACATACGCCTATTCATACATCACCACTGATTCAGTTCCTTGGTTTTTCCAACCAGATTCGCCTCGAATGAGTAACATCCAGTCTGTCTACTGTTGACTCCATCCATTACGGAAGTAGCCTTAATCGCTTGCCCAGCCACACAGTATTCTTGGTGTTTCATTTTTATCTGGCCCGCGCTGCCCATTCGCTCCTTCACAAACCGAATCTCTTCATACACAAGGCGGCCTCATCAGGAAACTTAGCTATCACTAGTATATAGGTGGGCGTATTTAATGATCGGTTCATCTTACATTTCCTTTGGTATACAACGTTACGTTTTGACTTTCCCTCTCAGGTACGGATATCACATAAGCAACAATAGCTACTACTTCTGCTATGAACCTGAAAAAATCGTTTCCATGTTTGAGCGCATCCGCCACTGGCCGAATAATCCGGATTCGGCTGGGTACCCTCAAAACTTGGGTCGGTTCCGAATTCTCGCCGTGCGTGATTTAACCACTGGGTATGACACTGCCTACGCGGACTGTAAGGCTGTGAGTATTATTCGAATGTTGACAACTGTGAGCACATTTGCCCTTTTAATTTGCACATCTCCATCAGCATTGTAGCAACCCATTGCTACGATTTAATTATAATGACCCTACTAATCACAAATTGCAGAGTGAGAAATTCATGGCAAACCCTGATGCTTTCAGTCCAGTTTTAATGTAGTGTTTACGAGACAGCTTCCATTGTCCTATGCCATAATCAACCCCAATAGAAAATTCAAATACAAAGCAATGACAATCATGTGGTAACTATCAGTTACGGATCGTGTCCTGTTATAACTCGAGCTAAGCACAATACGGGGGGTCATGTACACGCCCATACTACCAGTCAAGAACTGCATTTCTTGTTGGTAACTTAGAGATTACTCTACCCCCCCCCCCACCCTTACACGATCCTAGGTCCCGAGAACAGAGATAGGCCCTCTTCAGTTAGCATTGGGTGTGCACACGTGACACGTTCCATAACCACCGCAAAGCACCACTATCGTGTCGCAAGAGTGTGCTCGCGTGCGTCCCCTTCGGCAAGTAATTCACATCTATGGTTTCCAACCCACGCTTGGATGTCACCTCAAGTGACTCAGTTGCCGATCCGAGTCTTGCTTTACAAGTTTGTGTTTCTCCACCGAGCTCTCCAGTGACTGTGTCCATTCTGAGTGCAAGGTGTGTTCAGCAATTGATTAGATGTTTTGGATTTTTATGTCGTAACATCCAAACAGCGCTTTGTTATAGTAGTAACTTTACTGTTTGCCTTGGTCGGGTCAACACATCACTTGCAGGCAACTGTGGACAGTCGATGGCGTTTACAAGAAACACGAGATAATAGACGGCTTTTGAGAACCAATTTGCTTGTAATTCCGAAGCAGCACCGTCACTAACAGCCAACCATTAGATATTGGCTACTATTCACAAGTTATTATAGGCAGCAGTCTATTAAATAGACATAGCATTTTTCCTCTGTTGTGCAGGTAGTTCATCGCTTATACTCCGCAGGTGACAACATCAATATCATCGCAAAATCTAAAGTGATGTAGTGATCTCCAACATTCTAATTGTTATTGCAACTTCACTTTGTTATGCCGGTCTAAATACTTCTCGATTCCTGCAACACTCTGGTTTTCCTAGTGAGGATTAGCGACTTAGCAGACTTGCATCGCTTTTTCACCAACGCGATATATTAGGTTCCTTCATCTTTCGATTGATTGAACAATTGTCCACACCGTAGGACCGTCTCCTAATGTTACCTTTGACTCTTCTGCTTCGGACTCTTGTCGAGAGGAAATATATGAAATGACTTCTATTGGAAAAGACTTCACCGTACTTTGTTGTTGTTGTTGTTGTGGGATCATCTACTACTTGGTAACCTTTTGAATCTTAACCGCGGGGGACCGGAGACAATTTATCAATTCACCGATCCTGTATGTCATATTACCGGCGTCGGGCTCGTAACTGCTGAATAAGGCTCACGTGTTGCGAAACGTAAATCACTTTTCATAAATCGTCGGCACCTTTAGTGCCAGAAAAGACTTCCTTGGGCCCTGTTTACCTGTCCACAATGAAGACCGTTCTCTGGGAGTATCACTTGTTCCATTCTTTCCGAAGATATCAACACCCTTCATGCCTCTGACCATCATCGCCTACGGGGCATTGCGCATCTCAAACATCACCATCCTGCCTACTACGACGAGGTGCACAGACAGGTACTACTGGGCAGAGATGATGAGGTCATTTCGTTAGTTCGGAAAATAACGCTGAACAGTCCTCGCTCGTCCGGGCACCTATCATCCTCTCCCATTGCTTATTAACGACGACTTTGTTTTGTATCTAGAACGCTGAAAAGCTATAAAGTAGCAACTCTTATTCTACTTGCGGGAGATGAAATCGCTGCGTCGTCGATACCACCTTGCCTTCAAACGATTGCCAGGTTTTTGTAACCTTCGTTGTTGGCATGGTATTGGTTCGTCGGTCCTAAATATTTACTTCGGTTGTGTAGGTTTTACATCACCTTTACGTTACTCTGTTTACTCCTTAGTACGACTATTGTGGTTATGTGGCAGTAGGTACCGGCACGAGGTACTGATGCACTTCTCTCCCCACTGTTGTCTCGTATTATACTTTGCCTTACCCAAAACTTGCAATAGCGCCCCGATGTTCACCCTATCAAAGCGCGTACAAAACTCGCCTTCATTTGGAGCATTTAACGAGTTGCGGCCACCATATCGGTTGTTCTACGGCCTGAGCGAAGTCTACATTACTGTCCGGCTTCATTTAGTTCCAACCTTTTGAACGACCCGATTTCGCAACTCTCTTTCCCACGCTTTTCTGATGCCACGTCACTTACTCCTTTTCTCTTGTTGTATAATGATATTCTTCAGTTCGGCAAACACTTCCATCTATGTCCCTTTCACGAGGCAGAGAGTGTCGCCCGCTCGCTTCATCAGTTACAGTCCCAGTGGTCGAATTGGCCAAGCTCTACCAAAATGTGATTCGAGGTCCACATTAACATTGCGCGTCGTAATCCATACACACAACGAGTGCTTCAGAATGCCCCCACATTCACCATTGTAGTAATTCCCATGGTGTTTCAGCGGCCTAGCAGATTTACTAATTTACAGTTACACAAACACCTTTTGTTTCACTTATTGCTGAAGTGTCAGCAACTTCTTTCTTCATGTTTTACTGCTACCACCCAGTCACTCTCTGAACGATTGTTCGCAATATGGTTGAATTGCCTGTATCACTACTGCATTATGCGTGCAGGCCGTAACACTGGATGCTCTGTTCACCACAGTCGTCATCGATATTTTTGTAGGGTCGTAGAATTCCTTGTGTTGACACTGCTCGGTCTAGCATTTCACCTATCCCGCCATCTTCACTTACCGTGTATTTTTGATGCAACGGAGCTGTCGAGTTAGCTACCACTGCACTTTGCAAAACTTTTCTTCGCGCCAGCTTCGGTCCTTCTCCTCAAAGCGCTACGTTTTACTCTGACACCACTAGTCACACCGTTGTTATCAAGCCTCTGGAGCAGCCTACTGCATGCTTGCTCGATGTTCTCCTCAGCAGCAATGATCCCTGCTCCCTCATGAGGAGCCACATACCGCTGACAGCAGTAAAACTGACATCACCAAGTCTTGCGGCGATTGAATTTTTCAACTTGCACCTCTTCTTCACAGATCAATACACGGTTAATTTTACTCTCCCCACAGCAGAAAAACAAAGCTTGGGTTTGCGGAAATGTGTATACCATATGGCTCGTACTAATACGTGGCCGTTTCCCCACTCAACTCCCTCACGCTTTTCTCATCTGTTGTAGGAGACATGGTTTAGCAGGTGGGTGTGACCGCTCCTTGGGTGCGTCCAACTGAGGACAAACGCCTATCTTTTTTGTCGGCGAAATCAATATTGCACTGTATGCTGCGGAGTTACGCCCAACCTACTAACTTTACTGACTCAGCAGGAACAGTTGGTCGATCATCAGCGCCCATTATATCACGTAGGACACCTTCAGGTAAAGTTGTAATTTGGGGACGTATTTGGGATAGTGAGTCAGACGAAAGAGAGGCATATTCAGCCCACAAAGAACTGCAAATGAGTTGCTTTTTTCGGGATACACGGCACCTAACGAGCCACAAGTACTTGTGCAACCCGTTTGGTGTTGTGAGTGCTACCCTACTAACCTATCTCTGACTTTCTGTTAATGCCTTCAAGACTGCGCTTCAAGTCGGTAGAAATGCAACCAACCAGTCAGTTCACGCGGTCATGTTTTCGCTCTCACCTGAAAAGAGAGTTTGATCCGCTTTCTATCCTGTGATGAGCTCAGGCGTTAAGTCCATGGTGAACTAAGCTCGGAAAAACGCTGCGACGTTAGGTCTTTGCTACTCTCTCCCACTTGAGTCACTGTAACCCGCAGACTAATCAAACATCGAAAACTACGTGCTCGGAATGTTGCGCGGCTCTTTTTTCACTTTTACGCACCACATAGTCACCGTTTCTTGCCAACGCCCATTTTCGTTTACTTGCTCTTATGGGCGTATCTTCTGAATTACGTCACCTAAACAAGTGTTTCCATTAGGAACCGCAAACTTATTTTCCTTCTCTTGCTCCGACTCTGACAGTACTGCTTAGGTGCCCTTTTTATAGCCATCGTCAGCCGATCTTCAATCATTCCAGGTGAATTTGAATATCGCCTTACTGTTTCTCTGCAAGCCACACCTTAACACCTACACTTTGAGCCTTAACTTGGGTGGGGTGTCAGTTCAGACGCGGCGATTTAGTTGGAAACGTTTTTTGTACACCTAGTAACTTTCAAGACAATGCCGCTCTTTTAAGTTTAGAATTTGACTACGTCACCGACCTATTTGTAGCCTCGACCACAGTCTGAGAATTCCGTCATCTGAGAAATTTTATCCTTCCCAACTTTGACAGATAATCGTTTTCCTTAGTATAGTTATAGCAACTCGTCGAATCAACTTGATTTCATCGGTCTGGAGTGTGGTCTGTGGAATCGTATTGTATTCCTCCGCTTTTCCAAGTTGCAAATTCGGCACTAGTGTGCAGTAAGGAATATTTAACTCTACACCCTCTGTATGCTTCAGACAAAATTCGCACTACCCTATTGCTTCATTGGACACTCTATCCACACATCATGCCACGGATGAGTTTTAGGTAATGTGTATGAATTCCTCATGTTGCGCTTAGCTAGCCGAAGCTCTTGGAAATGGCGTTGGGAATAGTAAGTTGCACCAATATCCATCCTGCATATGAATTCGAGCATAGTGTGGTGATGGTCACTACTAGCGGTTTGCAAAGCGGACACTAAATTGTCACTTTCCACCAGAGTCAGTTAGACGAATTTGTATAAATGGACCTTGTATTGCAGTCTGGTAGTAAAAGAATATTGCGAGCACACAGATGCAAGGTTGGTGGCATGCGAATTTTCCTCCAGTCGGTGGCTTCACAACCGTGTTCCGTAACAACCTACGGGATGACTATATTGAAAAGAATCTCGGTCGCAGTTTGGCGTCGTAGACTATTAGTTCGCTTGGTCTCGGTTTAATCTGTGTAACTGGAGGTTGGGGTTTTTGCAGTTGATGGTGGTCACATGTATCTGACCGACTTTACGGGTCTTTTGGGTTTGTTCGTCGAACCACGACGGCTGTTTTTAGTTGAGTATTCAAACTCATCCATGAGGCACACATCGTCATCGTGTGTGTCACGAGTTGGGCCACAGCTGCGATCCCATACCTGCAAAGAACGACGAGTGGACCCCCCAGGTGAACTCTGCTGCTTGAGGTAAACTCCGTTTTTATTGATTTTGGGACCGGTAGGCTTTATTTGCTTGACCTGTAGCCACAGAATACCGAGTTCGTATTGCCAGGTAGGAACTACCGAGGCACTTAGACAACTGCATTTTAACACAGTGATTCAGCATTCCTCTTTATAGTGTGTACATGAGGTAAACCAGTGGGAAACGAAATACATGCGTAAACGAAGCGGTACAATAGGTCATACAGCTGGTCTTCAAAAGGCACTTGCGGTTTATGTTCTCCGGTCTACTCTGCGCAGTGCTCACCTTATCAGTAGCCATCACGACGCTTATCAGGTTGTTTCACATTGCATCATCTCTTTTACTCGTTAGATTACTTTTTAATTTTTGGCGGCAGACTTTAGACGGTCCGTATTTTGACAACATTCATCTTCCAGGCTTCCAAATCGTGTGCTTTTCCGAGTGATGGTTTGTTCTGCACCCAACTCGACTTCATCTGTGCCACTGTCATTGACGGTTTTTACTTTTGGGGCTTCAGGTGCGCATTTTGTTACGGGGCTGGCCTAAATGTTGCACCTGCTGACTCCTTCACGTTGGTACATGCGCATTCCCGTATCAGTGGAGTGGCCATGTGGATCCAACGGATGATCAAGGAAGCCATGATGCACTCCCCTTGGATCACTTTTAATTTGCCAGCCTGAAGATGGTGTTCCGATTGGACTTACCAAACAGTTCAGTCTGTATCGTTGAACGCTCACTCGTCCTGCTGGCGGTTTAGCTTTTTCTGCTTGCAGACTCAGATGTGCGTTCAGTCCTCCCCAAGTATTGTCGTTTCGGAGTTGCATTCCTCTAGTGCGAACCTTCATGTTGATGCTTTATTGTGCGCTTCATTTCTAAATTTTCATACGCTACGTGTGACAGTCCTCAAACAGGTCCTAAAAGGTCTGCAAACACCCCGAGCTGGACTTTCTCCCCACTGCTTTGTGAGTCAGGCTATTGAGTCAAAGCCTCCGGATAGAGTCCCTCAAGCGAACCTTCATGCGCTCTACTGTCTTGACTGTTCGGTCAGGTAGGGCACCTTGAACGAAACCCCTCTTCCGGAATGAGCACCCGTACAGTATCATCTGCATTCTCGACCCCGTCGACAACACTTTCTTCTTGCCTCAGCTATTGGAGCACCGTGACATATATTGGTGGCCCGCCGTTATCGTGTTCCTCGACATCAAAAGTGCCTTTGCTTCGGTTGTTCGATGTTCGCTTTGGCACTGTCTACTTAGGAAATAGTGGGCACTTTATTCAAAGCCCTTTGGTAAATGCTCAGCCACCATTTGGACCAGTCGCCTGTCTGTCCTACCTACATAGACGTCGTCTCAACTGCAGCTTAACTGGTAACTAATATGAGAGGCCAAACGCCCACAAGTGCGACTAACGGATTCATCCATGGAACACCAATATAATTAGCGGTATGGACGAAGAGAAAGGATTTCATAGCGGGAGATTTCTTGTTTGTCACTGCTATCCAAAAAAGGCGGAAGAATAGGGTACCAGGAAGAAGTTTGCTTTGTCCTGGCACGGTGATTTACAAAGTGTAAGTTAGTACCCAACTATGAAGATTGAATGCTAACCAACTGAGGCCATGCTTTACACTAGTCGCTGTGGTTCCGAAAAGCAATAGGTTTGATCACAATGAACTATTAAACAATCAGAAACCTAGTACCTAGGTCAGACGTAAATTTCGGCCGTTGGGTTGTTTGGGAAACGAGGCAAGACACAAACCAAATAAACAAGGGTATTTTTGCAGCACTTTCAATTAGACTGCTGTCAGAAGAGCTATACAACCTGCACGTAACTCATTTTTTTAAGAACATGGAGCTGTTAGGAGGATTCCTACTGAAGGTATGTGCCTTATGACAATGCTTGTTTACCAGCTTTTGTTTCGCTATAATTTGGTTATTGATATCTGTTTAAACGCATCATTTCATTAATTTTATTGGCCGCTATACTTCCTTCGTTATGGGTGTCATCTCAGGGTCCCATTTCTGCCAATACCGTCTTCCGGACATCCTTATCTGGTTCTTACCTTTACCTCTTCTCAGTCACCTGTCTTATTCTGTGCATCCACTTTTGTTGGTTGGCTCCGACGTGTTTGAGTCGTTTTGTTTCAGCTACTCCTGTGCCCTATTTAAGTGCACGCATTTCACAAGTATACAATTTGCTGATGTTTTCTTTGCGGTCGTGGTGTACGAACTGCTGGTGGCGATACGATAACTACATTCTAGAATTTTATTTGCAGTGTCTTACTTTCCTACCTCTACGCCAAAATTCGATTAGCTATCTGTGCCCTTTCCTAATCCATCCGTGTTCGGTGCCTTGTACGAGATTTTAATTCACTGACCATGTCTTGATATGCCTGTTCATCAATGCATAAACTAGAGGTTTATTTATTTAGATACTAACTTTTGCCATTTCATTTGCATCGCCACGCATGCTATAAAGTCCCATCTAAACATGAAGACTGAAAGAAAATCAGCTCAGACAACTTAGCTTCTCAACCATTCTGCAGCCAACAACACATCATATTTGATCAGATCAATCCGATATTTAGATCTATAAATGTCCAGGCAACTCACTTTGGCTTAAATCCCTTCTATGTGCATGCTACCATACATAACGCGTCTAACGCGACTGAAACTTCGCGGATTAATATGAGGCTACGTTGCTTCCTCCATCTTTATGCATCTGAGCAATATCACATCAAGTATAGAGATTTTTCTACTCACAAGTAACTTGATCTGCAGTACTCTAGACCAGTATGCACGGCTGAACACTACTGGTCTAATTTTGGTTGATGGCTTTAATTGCTTCATACTCTGTCACGTTCCTCCACCCTCCATGAAATTGCCACCCTCATCGTAACGAGACCAAGCAACTGAGAATGCCTCTGAACTAATAGGAAGCGGCAGTGAAATCCCCAAAGGAAGAGCCCCACAGAAAGGTGTCCATTGCATCTTCATAAATCCCAACCATCGACAGCCCTGCATGCGCGAGCTTGTCGCACATATCAATGTGATCCTTCCCTTGGTGGACACGATTTTTAGATAGCACGGGAAGTGTACATTATTATTCTTATTATTGTCCGAAGAAAAGTCTAAACACTTGTTTAGAGACGCCGCATTCCCGAAGGTTCTATTACGCTTGACGATAACATGACCCCAACCTGTGATACAGTTCGGGATATGGGAATTACGTATTCCAACCCCTTCAATTTCTCTGAACATATACTCTCCCAAGTTTTAAACACCAGACAGCCAACCGGCTACATCGCCTGCACTTTCTTCCTGCCTAAAATAAAAAGTTAACTTTTCAAAGTTATCGTAAGACCTACTCTAGAGAATTGTACTGTAATTCGTAGTTATATAAAAGTACAGGATAACTGTAAAATGTCTAACGATCACTTAATAAGCTGGTCATATGGCGCTGATCAGGCCTGAGTTACGATGATCGTGGTCATCACTTCCGACTGGATCTTTCTTAGCTCAGAAGATTATAAAACAAAATTTCCATAGAACAATCTAAATTCAGATAGTTCGCGTCTCCTCCTCAGCTATGTACAGACAATCAGTGGAATCAGTATGCCACACGCACAATGGTAAAACAATGTGGGAAATCGTTCTGTTTAAACAAAACTTATCGATAACCTCACTAGGGCACGGCGAGGGTAGTCACAAACTCCGCCTGCTTACATAAGTTGGGTTTCAGCCGACGAACCGCTAAAGTCTCTGCAAACTGGAGCAGACGAGCAATGTTCTGACGGTTACAGATCCTGAACCATTCCCGTTGGTGTTGTCACGTGGGGTAATCGAGGATATGCTAACCGACAGAGCTTATGGGCCGCTTAGGGCCATTTGCCACCAGGTTACATGGGACATGTTCTGCAATCTCCCATATTCTCCTCTCAGTTCGGTCCACGTACTTGCTACCGCAAGTACAATGAATGAGGTAGATACAGAAGGCGTTGACTGTAGAAGCTTGCCTGTCCAGGTCGGATTTACACAAGAACCTTTCATCTTGGTGGAGTAGGACCAGCTCGGCTGCATAAAAGCATTCCTTAATGGAATGATGAAGACCATATCGAAATCGCCTAACAATTTGGTCCACTTTGAATGACAGCATGATGAATACCGTCTTCGTAAGGACGTCAGCCTTACAATTCTCCACTGCTTTAAATTTTGAGTAGCGCTTAATGAAAGATTCGGGATACCGGCTCTCTCGTAGTGTTGCTGAAACATGTTGCAGCTTATTGCCAATTGTTCCCTCGGAGCATATCTTACGAGCTATTGCGAAAATAGTGCGTGGCGGAGTCCCATGTAGTGTACGCGGAAGAAACTGTTAAAGTTCTGATCCTCTCCCGACCAAGTTTCAGGAATGCTCTTTCTTTTCGCGTTTCACCTCGTGCCAGCACTTCTGCTTTGCTCCAATCGAAGCTACGTCCTTCTTCAGCTACATGCAGTGAAACTGGCGACGATGCATAATACTTTACACAGGCTCTTCTATGTTCTTGTAGCCTTGTTACCAGTTTTCTTCCCGTCTGACCAACGTAATCCCTTTCACAATCTCGGCAAGGCATTTTGTATATCACATTGCTTTTTTCATGTGTCTGCAGTTTTTCTTTTGGTTTAGAAAAGGCTTTTTCAACGTGGCAGTTGGTTTGTGTGCCACGATGAGATGATGCTGTTTGAATAGTCTGGCTACCACTTCCGATATGTTCTTCATATAAGGCAGAACAACCCGTTTCTCCATTGTCGTTGTTGTTGTGTTTGTTGTTGCCGCTGCTGCTGCTGTTGTTGTAGGCTGTATGTTGACGTTGTTGTGATGCAGACACATTCGGATGAATCTTCGTGGGTATCCGTTGAGTTGGAAACATTTAAATAGTTGCTTTTCTTCCTTTCGCTTTGTCTCTGTGGTATTGCAGTGTGTTTGCACTCTGCGAAACAGTGTCCGCACACAGTTTACTTTGTGGCATTTCGGGTGGTTGATGTTCAAGTTCAGAATTTGGTCTGCGTGTGTGCCTTTTCTGTAGACTGATGTTTGCGTCTCGCCTTCCATGCTTCTTCTTAATAATACGTCCAAGAAAGGGAGCTGGCTTTCCTTCTCCAGTTCCATTGTAAATTGGATGCCTTCCATGGCGTTATTCAATAGCTGTTGTGCGACTATTATTTGGCTGCATCTGATTATTACAAAAGTGTCGTCCACCTACCGAACCCACAGTTTCGGATTGACGAGTGGTAGTTACTCCTCCTCCAATTTTTTGCATGATCATCTCTGCGATGAGTTCTGACATAGGTGATCCCATTGGTACGCCTTTCAATTGCTCCTAAATCTTTCTATTGAATGAGAAGGGAGTCGACAGACAAAAGTAGAGTAGTTTGCATGCATTTTCGGTCCTCATTCTTCCTATTTGTTGTTCACTGACGTTCAGCCGTTCTGTGATGACCGCTATTGCTGTCTTCAAGTCAACAGACATGAAGAGTGCAGTCACGTCGAATGATATCATTGTTTCATCATTATCTAATCGCAGGTATTTGATCTTTTGCAGAAACTGCTGGGCATCGGTTATGGGATATTGCGATCCATAGGTCAAATGTTCGAGACGTCTTCACATTTCTTTCGCCAGGTTGTAGGTGGGTGTTCTTGGGAGAGA